TTTTTTAAAATTTATCGGGTAATTTTGGCACTTTTTTGTTTACAGACAGAGATTGTACTTTAACAAACCCCTCACCCACATTTTATCAGATCAACATAACATGTGCTGCAATTCGAAGTTGAGTACAGTTTAATTCCTGATACAACACATTTAATAGGAGATACTGAAAATAAGTACTGAATAAAGAATAAGTTCAGCAAATTATTATTAATAATAACAACAACAATAATAGTAATAATAATACATTTTATTTATATGTGCCATTTGATTCTGATTAAGGAAAAATGCTACTCAAATGTGCCATGTTAAATCAGCTCCCAACTTGACCTGGCTTTAACAAGCTGGTGATGAATCTGGGTGTGATGCAGGGCAACATGACACTGCTAACTCGACTGTTTGAATTTCTTCTTTATGGAAACACAGTCCCAAAATGTTTTGCTCCAGCAGTCATCACTCGGATAACCAAATCATAGCTTTTATTCTGAGATAAACGGATGTTTTTTTCCTTGTGGTATGTTCATCTTTTTAAACCCTTTACTATCTGCAGATAAAGTCTGTGTATGGGTACAAATAAAGGTGGCCTTGTTTTCCAGTATTACAAAGTTGTGTAACACTGTTATATATAGTTATATGTAACGCTCATATGCAGCATCCTAACAGGGAACATGCCTCGAGATATCTTCATGTCCACATTAAAGCTATTTGATGGGGCACAACCCAGTGTGTGTGAAGGAGCAAACTTTGCTACCTGAAGATTTCTTTTTATTTATTATTTAATAGCAAGTGGATGGACAAGCCATTCAAGCAAATCAAGCAAATCAAGCAAAAGAAACTCTTTAAGAATAGTATGAATAAGTGTGTGTGCAGCATACCGGTTGAACTTAAGGACCAGGTGATGTTCAGGTTAAAGTTGTTTGAGGCGTTGATGGACATATCCAGGTTTTTGTTGGCCTGGAAGAAGAAAAAAAAAGCAAGTTTGTGTTACTGAGCTGAAGAATGAAATCAAAGCTTGGGGACAAACTGACTGAAGATGGAGAACCTTAGAGACAGAAGGAACCAGCAAGAAACTGAAGCAAATTTTTTATTTCTTTCACATCTTTTTTTGGTCTATGTACAGGTTTTGCAGTTCACGCTGTTGTTGGACACCTTCCCCAGGCTATTTACATTACTTTAACTCGCTTTCCTTCAGTCAACAGAATAACTATTTGGGAAAACATTGTTAACTTGAGCAGACTCGTCCTGGCCTCAACTCATGTCACCTAGGGCAAATCTGAATCTGCTGGCCTCTTTTTGCATCGTTACATTGATTTTGTCTCCAGTGTTACCACTCTGAGTTGTATTTCAACACAGCTTTAGGCACAGAGAAGGAAAAACAGGACAGATAAAAGTCAAGAGTTTAGACAGATTCCTTAGTCTGACAACAGATCTTTACATTTGGAGGATATATGTTTTTATAGATCCAAAGCTGTACGCTGCCACAACATGCCATCCTCTGTCTTTGTTTAATTTTTTTTCTACCATTTAAAAGTATTGTTACAATGTCAGATGCTGATATGGAACATGGGCAGAGTTCATGAGGTCAGGGAATATATAAATAATCCCTGTAAGCAAGGGCACAGGGATTATACTGCTCCAAGCACATGATTTCTCAAGTTTTTAAAGTTTTGCGCTGATCTGATGTCAGCTTGGAAACTTTCTTATAGTTGTCATATTACATGCACTTCTTTTTGCAGGCTAGACGACATATGAAAGACAACTACCAGGTCTAAAAAGTGAAGCCAGTGTAGAAGCTTGTTAATTAAGCATTTGTTCAAACTGCCAGCAGAGGGAAACTCTACTTGTTGCAAAAAGAAACCTAGAAGAAAAAGAGTGTTCAGCTCTACTGATCTATTATTTAAGTAAAGTCATAGTGAGCTTACGGTCTCAATCATTATTTTTAAGTCTTATTGAAAACTACATGACCCTAATTTTGCAAATTATGCTCTAATTTAATGGAAATGGATGAGGAAGATCGGTGTATGTCTTAGAGCTAACTTGGTTTCTTACTTTAACTTTCCTACTGACTTATCACATCCCGTTTGAAAAGATGGCAATGAAAATGACAAATTTCCTACTTTAGTCTACAAGTCAGGATTTCAGTACCAGTAACTATGACCAAATTTCTATGGGGCATTTGGTTTCCAGTAGCAAACCAGAAAAGCTGTGGTGTTGGTGGGCAGCAATCATGAAGGATTAGGATCAGTTTTAGACTTTATTTATTATTATTTTTATTTTATTTATTTTTTGGGAGGACAGAGAAGTCATCCACAGCTAGCCACTAAAGAGCATGCAAGCTTATTCCCACATTTCCATCAGTCTATAGGACAAAAACCTAAACTGTATGTAGCTATGTATTACACAACGTTCATGTATTGGAACTATATATTTCAATTCAATTTATTTATATACCAACAAATCAAAACAACAGTCACGTCACGTCAAGACCCTACAATAATACAAAGAAAACCACAACAGTCATATGACCCCCTATGAGCAAGTGTTTTGGAGAATATAGGAAGGAAAAAGTCCCTTTTAACAGAATAAAACCTCCAGCAGAGCCAGGCTCAGGGAGGGGCAGCTATGGGTTTTATCAAAAAGGAAAGTTTTAAGCCTAAATCCTAAAACTAGAGAGGATAATGAAAGCACCGAGCTGGATAAAAACTTAACAGGCCACTCTTAAATACTAAAAATAATTAATGAACCTTAACCTCTCTTGACATTACCTGTTCAGGTGTTGCCATAAAGTTGATGGCAGTGTAGTAGCGGTCATCTTCCTGAAGCAGACTGAAGGTAAACTGGTAATCGATCAACAGGTTATCTGATCAACAGAAAGACAAACAGAGGCACAAAACACAAATGAGAAGTCTTGTGAACAAGCCGATCTTTTAGCAGTGGAGCATTTTTAGGTATTTAGCTGCCTCTGATTTCGATAGTTTTCTCTTCAAGAATGGCATTACAAATAAAGGCTCCATCCTGCCTGATTTTATTGACGTCACCATCAAACACAGATTTATGAAAGTAAAAACACCGGAGGCACTGATGGTGAGTCGATATTCAATTAGATGAATAAGATTACAGTAGTGGAGTTTCAAAGATCTCAATCAGTGACAAAATAAACAAGGTGCGCATATTTGAGTAAAAGCGCAGCCACACATGTATTTTATAAACCCGAACACGGCTGCTTTCATTGTGGATGCCAGTCTTTTCTATAAGCAAACAGGCCAATCGATCAGTACAACATGGTTTAGAGTTTAAATAATCATGTTGTCTCAGTGATTTAATAATTTCTGAAAGGAGCTCTTATTGAGCATCTCAAGGCAGCTCTTTGTCAGCGAGACAATGAGCAACGTATGGAGAGAATCACAGTGATTCAACATCTGGATGGACAGCAGGACGACGAAATACGACGACGCTGGGTCACCTTGTCTGCCTGTCGGAAGGGGGGGTAGAAGAACGGGAGGAAGGGAGCACTGAGGAAAAGAGAGAACACATAGAAAGAGGAGAGAAAGCAGCTGTGCGGCCATGAGAAGATAACTGTTTGAGAGGATAATTTTTTAGTTAATCAGTGTAACTGCTGCCTGCTAACCCTTCAGGGGAATTCAGGTGTGTGTGTTTGTGTGTGCACGCATGCACATATACAAGGGAAAATAAGGTTATAGCAGACTCGGGCACAACTTTTATTTTTAGGTCAAAGAAAAAGTTCATAGTTTTTCTCTTTTTCTTCATAGTTTTTAACAATCTGCCGGAGCAGTTGTGTATTATATTTCAGCACCAGATCTGTCAGATAATTACCAGTAGGGAGACTGACATAATACATAAAACACTTTTTTTTACCCAAACTCCATGCAAACCACAACACAAAACATCAAAGTCTTAAAACTGAACCAATGTAACTAAAAAAACTCATGATGTAACCAAATAATTGTTTTATTTTGCCATTTTATATGTGTAACAATAACAAAGAAACCTTTAGTTTTTTCCAGTAGCCAGTGAGACAGGAAAATAATATATGTGAGCTAGTGGTTTTCTTATTAATGACCTTTGGGCAAGACTTCAATCCCACTGTTTCTTACCCTTTACTGATTTAATTAGTTGAACTTGGAATAACCACACAAACCACGAGCTGCAGTTACAAAGCTCCATGATACAAAGCAAAAAAAGCTCCTTCAGGGGAGTTCCCTTGGATAATGCATCTACTTCCAGTGATGCTGTTATCTCAGTTTCATTCTGACCACTGTGTGCAGGATCTCCTCCACTGTCATGAAGGCAAACCACTCAACTTGAATATGTCTGTGAAGGTTCTTAGTCATCCAGGTCATCGTAGTCTAAGGAGTTTGGAAAGAAAAGCGTCTGGACTTCTTTAAGAAATGAAGAAGCTTTTCGGATGAAATGTGAAACATCTTCAAGGAAACTTATAGAAGTCCAGACACTTTTCCTCAGACCATTCAACTTGAATTTGGACAAAGTCACAGGGAGACAAATCTGGCTAATGAGGCAGGTGTCTGTTGACTTTTCAATGTACTGTATGCCTGCACCCAATGGCACAAACCCCACACTTCTGGTGGTTTCTACCAAATGTTCTCTGTCACATGCCTCGGGTCTTTCGAGGAGAACACCATGTTGACAGTTGACATAAAAGTCGGGTCAGTTTGACACAGATGTCAATGATGGCTTCGGTCAGACTGGAACCTGCACCGAGTAAAAAATAGTGACCATGCTGAAAGCAGACAACGTTGAAGAAACAAAGTCCTCAAAGTCCTCCAAGAGTTTTAGTAGCTGCATCTATGGTATCAAATTCAAAATCCTACGTCACCTCGTTCTGGAGTTACTGCAGTCACAAGATTTTCAGAAAACTTGACCTCTGACTTTGAGGTTGAAGTCACTGAGATTTGAACTTGTCCAAGTTTTTTCGTAGATACACCTATGGAATCAATTTTAAGCTCCTACGTCGCCTTGTTCTCGAGTTGATGCATTCAGAAAAGTATGTGTTCAGGCTCCCCACCTACCTGCCCTCCTGCCCAGTGGGGTGATGACAGGACCCCATCAGCCTTTTACGGCTGAGGGGTAAAAAGGGCTTTGTAGCTCCACAGCAGATCTGATGCAGAGTTACTGTGTGAATGAAAAAAAGAACCGCCAGTGCTGTCACACGTAAAATGTGACACTGAGTGGCAGGAGTCAGTAGAGACGCTGTGAAAGCTTTCAAAAGACACAGCAGAAAAACGTTGTATCACACGCTGTAAAAAAAAGAAACATGTTTAGTTACTACTTTCCTTTCAGCTGTGGAATCCTGGGGCGTCTCCAAGACGAAAGCAAATTATGTTTGACAAACAGCCCTGTTTTGTTCAGCCTTCATGGCAAGTTAGCCCAAACAGCAGATATCATCAGATCAAAGACAATATTTTTCCTTAACATCTTTCCCGTCCTCCCTCCCTCCCAGGCAGACGTGCACTGCTGCTGCTCAGTTGTTTATCCCATAAGGGTCGTCAGTACAACTTCACAGTATTTGGTTTTTTGTTTTTTTTTCTTAACTTTGTAAGTAGGATAGGGACTTGTGTGCGTGTGTGCATAAAGAGAGTATTCATGTATTTACCTCTCAGTCCTCACATCCAGTATGTACATTTCCTGTGCATGGATGGTTGCATGCATCTTTCTTTGTTTGCATATTTGTCTGTATGGTTAATCAAGGAAACAAGTAGGAAAAGCAGCACTAAAACAATTTCTGCCAGTCCCTCTGTGCATTTCCAATATGCTTGATTTCAAGCCTAACAAGAAGAAGAGCATCATGCAGGTTTAAAAGTTCGTTTCATTTCAGCTAATTACAATTCCCATCTGAGAAATCTGACAGCAGTTAGACAATCTCAATTACAAGTGTGCATGTGCAAATTCCCACTCTGAATGAATCGTATCATTGTGTCACTAAAGGTATTAGCACCCCTCCCGACACCAAAAAAAAATTAAAAAAAAACAACTGAAATTGAAATAGTCTGTGCCAATTTCTCAGGTTCACAGATGGGTGATCTTATTACCATAGTATGTAAGCTGATTTAGCCTTTATGAAACTAAACACTGTGATGAGAAATGAGAAGACAGATGAGGAAGCCCTCACCCAGAACATAATCTGATATTCCAGCAGTCTGTTTCAAATAGAAATTCAAAACAAGCGTGAACTCACCTACAATGTCAGGCTGTCACAATCTCTTGCTGAGGTTTTATTTAATGCTTGTTAACAACTCATTATTTCCCATTTGCAACACTTTCCTGACAGAGCACAGGCCAGATATTACAACGTCACCTCACTGAGAAAACAAGTTAAACCTGGGCGAGTAAACACTTGGACACAATGGATTCAATATCAGACCCGGAAGGAGCTCAAGGTGCTTCAGGTAATATATGCATGAGGTCAAGTGACCTTGGCTGAGCCTTAACAATACAATAATCAGAGGTGGAAGCAAGTAGCAAAGTGCACAATCACCAGTGTTTCAGATGCATCCAAAGTTGCTCAAATACATGTGAAAATACATAATACAATGCATACTAAAGGTGGTGATATCACAGAAAGAGTACATGTACATGATGTGCAAATTTGCATATTCCAAAAATATCACACCATGCTAGCTCTACGTCATCTTACTTTCTCAAGAATGTAACACAAAATTCAGTTCAATCGAGTTTGATTTATATTGCGACAAATCACAAAGACAGTTGCCTGAAGGTGCTTTAAAACAATGAAAGCAAGTGTGTTTTTAAAGGACTGGAAAAGAGCCATCATTTTCCACTATACTTTGCAAATAAAAGACATTAAGTAACAAACTTTTTGGAAATAAACTTGTGGAAAAGTTTTTACCTGTACTAGCTTAGCTAAAAAGTGATCACCTTCCAAGGTCTCATTTTTTCGCTACAACAAAGCAATTATTATATTATTGATGCCATTTCTGTTAATGTTAAATAATGCACATGGACATGTACTTATACTCCTATGCAAAGAATAATTGTTGTGGTTATATTATATAACTATAAAATAAGACTACACAGGTAACATTCTCCATCCAGTCAGTTTTCCCAATACTCTAGATAAGCAAATGTCCATGATGCACTATTAGCAGATTGTCATACAAAGATACTCCATAGGACTTGTATATACTGGAGCCTAGTACACCATAAAAAGTTGTGTGCACTGTATTCTCAGACTGCAATTAAAATGTTTGCACTGTCTGGTGTGTATATCATTCCAAAATGTCACAGGCTCATAACTATGTATCAAACTAAGTGAACCTCAGTGAAAGTGATCTAAAATAATATTTAATAGCCTGTCAAGGGTAACTACTGGATTGCAAAAAAGGTTTTTTGGCCTGATAGGACCAATTAGTGTATGTTGGATAGGAGTCCAGACAGACTGCCTGTCAGCGAATATTAAGGCGTCTTGGACGGACGCCACGTCGTGGCCTAATGAACGGCCTTCGGCCAGCAATGCTGTTGCTTGCTGATTACTGCCATGCGGCTACTTTGAGGTTTGAAGTGGCTACAACATTCTCCAATTTATATTTCATTTGTCTTTGATGTCACATCACCACAAGAACAAATCTAGTGCTATCTAAAAGAAATGGGGATATGACAAAGTAAATGTCCTCAATATTCTCCCATCACTGGTTCATATTATAGAAATTGCATCACTATTCAGTCTCGTTTGTTGGTGTCTATCATTAATTATCCCTTAATTGTGAGTGTGATACTGTCAGTAAACATGGGAGCCTCTTTGTTCGGCCTGACTAGGCTTTCCCAGCAGACCTGAGGGTAGCAAGCGCCACTGACTGTGGAGTG